TTCTAGTTCCATCCATTTCCCTGTGAATTTCAAGATTTCATTTTTTCCACTGAGTAGTAGTCCATTGTGCATTTTAAGAATTTATTCTTTTTATATTAATTAATTTATTTTATTTTATTTTCCAGTTTAAATTTAGATAAGAAACAAGGTTGCTTCACAAGTCAGTTCCAGGTCCCTCTCCCAGTCAGTTCCAGGTCCCTCTCCCTAGAATTTATTCTTATTTTAAATTATGTCTGTGTCAGTGTATGGATATGTATGTACAACTCAGGGTCTGCATCTTCTGGAACTGGACTTATAAAGAGGTGTGAGTCACCTGATGTAGGTACAGAACAAGGTGTTTTGTAATATCAATATACAATCTTAACCCCTGAAACATTTCTCCATCCCCTCTTTATTTTGTTATTTAAAGAATAATTACTCATATTAATTTTGATGTGTGGGTTTATGTGATTGTGTGTTTGTAAGTGCATACTTGTATTCAGAGGTCACAATAGTGCACAGAGTGTCCTCCTTGATTACTTTCTATCTTCTACTTTGAAGAAGAGGTCTCTCCCTGATCGTTGAGCTTGCTTCTTTTCATCTAGGCTCCAGAAATACTCCCATTACATCACTCCTCAGAGCTAAGGAACAGACATTTATGCAGAATCCTAACTTGTGTAGGTGCTGGGTTATGAAATCAAGCTTTCACGACAGCAGTGCCAGCATTGTTAACTATTAAACTGGCTCTGCAACCCTCCTCTGTGGTTGGATTGTTGATTTTCTATTTGTCTCCCTTTTACTATTTTCTTGTTATTCTTACCCATCTTTTGTTTTATGAATTAGTTAATCTTCATAGTTAAAATAACTTTAACATAAATGTTAAGGTTAATTAAAAGAAATAGTATTTTATTACAAGATTTCAATGGGCAATTGAGGGATTATAGTATGTATATGTAATTTATCTTATTCTGCTCTTATAAATCATTAAAAGCTTCATTTTAATGTAGAAACTTCAGTGTCATATTAGGTTCTTGGATATCCCTACTATATAAGACTGCTATCTTACTCTGGAGATCCCTCATGGAGGGCCTTACCCTCCTTGGGAGGACTGGTGGGGGGTTGGGTGAGGAGGGGAGGGAGAGGGACCTGGGACTGACATGTGAAACAAGCTTGTTTCTAATTTAAATATAAAATTAAAAAAAATTTTAAAGAGTACTGACTTGACATTACCACTATATACATTGAAAATTTCATCAGATCATATTATAATTTGGTACCATTGATTTCACTGTTTAATCAAAACAAAGTAAAATATGTAGACAATCTTTCAAAAATGTAATTCAGTGTATTCACAAGTTTGTACAACTACCATCTTCTTCACTAGGATAAAAGCCTCATACTTACTAAGAATTCATTTAAAAACCCTGAGAGTTCATTCCTCATCATTCATATGAGCTTAAATGTTACTTTACATTTTGTATGTTTTCCTTTCATATTCACTTTTATTAGCTTATTCTTTGAAATTTTATACATGTTCATTATCCACTCTTGCCACACTCACCCCTCCAACCTTTTATCTCCCTCTTATACCTGCAATGTTATCTGATGAATGACATTGTTTTCATGATGTTTACTAAGTGTAGTTCATACAGTTTTCTATGATTGCTTATAATTGCTTGTCAAATCTGTGATTCTGTGTAATATACTAGTCTATTGTCGTTAAAATATTCTACAAAAAGTCAAATTTGTGGGCCAGTTTCATAAAGTGGTTATAGAAAAAGCAATTTTTTCATATGTAAACTGTTCTAAGTTATATTAAAAGATCAAAAATTGAGCTACTTTCAACAATTAAATTAATTCAGGTACAAAGAACAAATAATGTTTCCTTAAGATAAAATGTCTTATGAGCTGGAGAGATTGCTCCATGGCTAAGAACAGAGGTCCTGGATTTGTTCTCTAGCACCCATATCATCTAGCCCATAACTGCCTATATCTCCAGTTCTAGGGGATCCTATTCCCTCTGTGTTGGGGAAGTCCTGTGTATATGTCAATAAAGAACTGAATAGGGAAGCAAGATAGTTGGGAATAGGAGTCAAGGAGGACTCTGAGTAGGAGAAACACAGGGAGTCACAATGTAGCCCGCCATAGGGATAAGATGTCCAGAACTTTACTCCATTAAGAGAAATACTTAGAATAACAATTATGGGGTAAATACTTAAGTCAGAGCTAGCCAGTGAGGAACAAGCAAGGCCAACAGCTTCATAATTAATACAGCGTCTTGTGTGTTATTTGGGGACTACAACGCGGCAGAGCCCAGGAGACTGGCGGGGGACAAACCAAAGCTGCTGGCAAGAAAAGGGCTTCTCTTTATACTTCTGAACTCTGAGGGTAAATGCACAAATGTGGTGCACATAAACAGCACGGAAATATACACTTATGTATAAAAATAAATAAATCTTAAAAAATAAAGACACCTTGAGCCAAGTTTATTAATGTGGGGATATGTATCAAAATCAATTTGTATCATTCAGTGAAGTAATTAATAAGTAGATAGTGAAATGCAAAGATTTAAGTTAAAGTACTGGTTGGAATTTCCCTACATAGATAAGTTAGAGAAGAAAAGACATTTGGCAATTTATACATGTGCATAAAAAAGGTTTGATAAATTATATGTAGGATAAAAACTATCAGCAAAATTCATTAGAAGAGAATTCTCTTTTTAAAGAAATGCTTCCCTCTTGTTAAAAGTAAATTATTTTCTCATACAGCATTCATTTTTACTGTTCCCATTCTTCAACTCCTCCAAGTTCCTCCCCACTTCCCTTCCCATCTGAACCCACTTCTTTTTGCTTCTCATTAAAAAAGAACAGGCTCATTAGAAGACAAATGTCATTTCATAACATCTACAATAAGCTTGATTGAATTTAAAATGTTAAAAACATCCACATTAAAGTCAAGGACAAGATGTAAATGTATGATACCATGTATTGTTTAAACAGGAGCTACATACTCAAAATAGTGAAACACCAAACTACATAAGAGCAGGAATATCAAGAGAGAAACAATACATGGTATGGGTCTCTATTTGGGAAAAATCAAACTGAATAACTATAAAATACTCAAATTAATCAGAAACCAATAAACTGCTAAATACATCACTAAATCCAAGAACTTTGCCACATGAAACCAACAAAGACAAATAACACAAGCATAATAGCATATATCTAAATTATGCACAAATGAACTCAACAACAATGTATACAATCAAACACAACAACTGTGTATACAATCTTTTGCTAAGCAACTGCCAAAATAGACTAAGGATGATGGAGTCAATAAATAAATTAGTACATTTGTTCAATGCGAGATACTTAATATGAAGATGTCATTTCTTAAATTGTTTACACATTTACTATCTGATGGACAAAGAATTATGTCCTGTTTTTTATATGTTGAAACCACAACCTTCAATGTGACTTTATGTGGTAATAGGACTTTGAATTTGTCAGTTTTTTTGTCAACTTGACACAAGACAGGGCCATCTCGGAAGGGGGGGGACCACAAATGAGAAACTGTTCATTGCATAGCTCTTTTAGCAACTCTGTGGGGGCATTTTTTGGAAAGTATTTTAGATTATGTAAAACATCAGACACTCCTTATGGTCTTAGGCAAAATACAAACTTAAGATGCTTGCCCTATTTATTGCTAAACAAAGATGCTAAGTGATTTATTTCATTTATGTGATTTCAAGTATACTTAAGAACTGAAGGTTTCGTTACAAATTATCACATCTGAAAATAGTCATGGTATTTTTGTTATAGCAATCCCAAAACACTGATACAGTACTTTCCCCTCAGCAACCAATGTGGTGACCAGACTTGGATTGCTGTTTATGAAACATAATCCTGGAAAAAAATAGGCAATATTATAAAAAACAGTATTGGTAATAAATAGCAAAACTAAGAGTTCTTGAGAAAGACTGAGTAGTGGCTGAATTAACACTTGTATTTGGGCAAGTGGGCATATTCCCTGAGGTAAAGACAGGGCTGTAGCCTGTAACTGAAGAATATGATAGTTAGTTGGAGGAGAATTTTAAGATTTCAGTCTAGCCTTTTCCTTGTGTGACAATGAATATGTCTTGCTTCACTGAAGTATCTGGGTCAGTGACTTAGATTCGGTCAGTAATATCCAGGTCATGCTGAGTTGGCACAAAGGTTTGAGTTGAGGCTATGTGAATCTAGAATCTTATACCATCTTTAGTTTACTAATATTTATTTATTGCTGAGAAATAGCCTTTAAAATAATAATATAACAAATGAAAGCAGAGTAGTTATATAGTGAATAAAATATTAAGATAACAAGTATAAAAATAGAATGTTCCATGTATAGGAATGGTAGTCTTTCATCAAAAATAACACACACACACACACACACACACACACAGAGACACACACACAATTCTTACGGGTATAAATACATATCCTAATATAGATGGAAGAAGAGTTCAGGTTCTTCCAATTTAAAAAATAGACAGACTATTCCAAAATCCAATATTAACTAGTGAACAGAACCAAAGTCATAGAATCTTTTGCCTTTACAACTCTAACATCTATTCTAGGATCCTGGCAGCTTCTTCTGTATCCAGTGTCTGAATCTAATCCAAAGATTGCAACTGGGAAATATCTCAAAATTTTCTCGAAGTTCACATTTTCGAGGAACATTTTAAAAAGTAGCCAAGATGAAGATTTCCATCCTCCACACCCTTACCAGCGATGAGCTCCAATCCCATTCAACTGTGGCAACCTGCTCAAAAATCAAGTTCCCCTCCCATGCTTCCATCACATAAAACCCAACGTAGAGCTGTCAAATAGAGTACTGACTTCCATCTCCTTGACTAGAGATTTCTTCGGAGGGCAATAGTGACAGGAAAATTAAAGGTGATGGCATTGAGAACTTTGCTCCCGTGCTCTGTGACGTACGAACAGACCCCCCCGCCCCCCCCCCCCGCACTGGTACTTCACCGAAGCCAGCGCTAAGTGACTTCGGCTATGGCCGCTTTTCTGAACTTTCGCCCACTTCTTCCTTGAAGCACCAAGGAGCAAATGAAGACTTTGACCTCAGTTTAAGAGACTCAGGTCAGCAAAGGAATACATTTTCTGGGGTTTAAAAAGTAAAGGATAAGATTTTGAATGAGGCCCCTCAGTAGGGAACTCAACATGGCATCAGAGGGTAGATACAGAATTTTGCCCCTCTTGTCTATCATTGGAGGCACATGGATGGGGCTACTGGGAAGTCAGGCTTCAGGGAGGTGGGGTCCTTGTTCTACGGTTTAGGGTTGCAAGTGAAGACTATAATCTGTTTAGCCTTTGTTGGAAGCTCTGGGGAAATCCCAGAAAGTGTAACTGGCTAGGCTCCTACCTCAGTTTTCTCTTAATGGCTACTGATACAGCTTCAGAGGAGCTACAAATGAGACATTATGTTGGCATGATGTCCTTAAATACAAATCCAGATGTGACCTGATGATTTTAAAGGCAAATTTAGATGATCATTTCTCACTTCTTGCAACCTAGACCTGCTAGCAGCTGCTCTTATCTCTAGCTTCCCCTACACAGGGATATTAGGGCTCAATCGAACTCATATTCACTTTAATTTCCTTTAATGAGTTCTCAGGGGGCAGATTAACAGACAAGGGCGCCGTAGATTTTAATACATTGCTGTCACAGAATTTTGTAGAGGCAAACTTGGTTTAAAGACCAAGGTGGTCTCACCTTTATTTACATACCCATCATTTCATCCTCCCATCCCTAGGTGGAGGCATTACTTGCTCTTCTGATTATACTCCCTGACCAAAATCGCCATGCCTCGTGGCCATAAAAGTAAACTCCGGGCCCGAGAGAGACGCAACTGGGCCCGAAGTGAATCCAGGTCTCTTCAGGATGCTCATACCATTACATCAGAAGAGAGAGAGACTCCTTCTTCTCCCCTTTGTAGTAGCGATGTCCAAAGCATCTCTGCCATTGAGTCACATGGCATATGTAAGAAGACTCAGAAACCCACTATTGCTCCTGTAAGTGTTTCATATACCAAGTCAGATATAGGTAAGAAGAGCCAAGATGAGGAGAGACCAAGCACTTCCTGGGCGCTGCCCTCAACTAGTTATTCATCCTCAGCTCAGAGAGATGACATAGCAATTTCATTGGTACAGTTCATCCTGCGAAAGTATATCAAGAGTGAGCCAATAAAAAAGGAAGACATATTAAAGCATGTCATCCCAGAGAATAAGGAAAAGTTCCCCGACGTTCTTAAGAAAGCCTCTGAGCTGATGGTGTTGGCATTTGGAATCGATGTTAAGGAAATTGACACTATCAGGCACTGCTATGCCCTTGTCAGCTTATTAAATCCTGCAGGTGATAAAATAATGGAGGGTGAGGCAATCATGCCCAAGAGTGGCCTCTTGGTGACAATCTTGTGTGTGATCTTCATGAAAGGCGGCTGTGTTAATGAAGAGTATATCTGGGAAGTGCTTAGTTTGATGGGGGTATATGCTGGAGTTGATCACTTCGTCTATGGAAATGTCAAGAAGCTCATCACTAAAGATTTTGTGAATGAGGGATACCTGGAGTATCAGCGGGTACCCTACAGAGGTTCTTCATGCTACCAATTCTTGTGGGGTCCCAGGGCCCAATTTGAAACCGGTAAAATGAGAGTCCTCGAGTTTCTGGCCAAGATCCATAATACTGTGCCAAGTGCCTTCCCATCCTTGTATCAAGATGCTTTGAGAGACGAGCAAGAGAGAATCGAAGGCAAATTTGTATCTATGATTCTTATTGGTCTCATACCTGGTTCGTAATCTAATGACAATTGCAGCAGTTTCTCCAACAATTACTGAATATAATTATTACTTTGCCTGAGTTGGTATTGGAGAGAAAATAATCCATAACATATTTATAGCCTTAGATGAATAACCTTCAGATTAGCTTTTCCAAGTTTTCGAACTTCCTTTTAGAACAGTTAAATTAGCTGCATCATGTCATTATATAACTGATATGTGCTAAACAGTTAACATTGTGATGCTTAATAGTCAGGTGTTTCAGTATTGAAAACAAATTGAGAACAGTTCATCATTTTACCTGAAACATGAAAACATGACACCAGAATAAGCATTTTCTTATACTATAAAAAATCAATAAAATAAGTTGCAAGAAAATGTGAAAAATGTATTGGATGATGCACTCTTGATTTTTATGATTCCTGATATCAGCTGTTCCAAAAAATAAAATAAAATTAAACTTATGTATCTGTATTCATTTATTATTCAACAATGCAAACATAAATTATGATAAAGTTACCCTCTTATTCATTGACATTTTTGTTCCCCAAACAAACATATGCCAAACATCTTCTCTTTGTAAATAGGGATAATGTGTGGGGAAGAAGACAGCAAAGGAGCAGGAGGAGAAAACAATGACATAATGAATGAGACACTGGTTTTATACTTTTGGAGTCTAGGAGGAACTACTACATAAGATGACACTCCAGCAAATAAATGAGAAGTACACAGGAGGGTGTAGAGTAGATGTGAGAATTTAGAGTCCTCATAAGAGGAGTTAAACATGAAACAAGACAATTTGGGATGTAAGAAAACTTGAAGCCTTTTCTAAATGGAAGACAGAACTCAGTAAGGCTACGTATCGGATCAGAAGAAGGTAAAACAGCAACACCTCTTTTCATAATTAAACACATGCAGCATAAACCGATGTAACACTTTCACATAGTTAATGTAACATACTGCAGCATAAACAAACATAACATATCTTTACATAGTTAAAGTAATACTCTATAACGCAGATAGGTAGTCAATGGCAGGACTAAGACAAGACTTGTGCAATACATTCCTCTATAGCCCACACTTTGACTCTCATGCTAGCCTGATGAAGATCTTTTAATTTCTTTTTGTTCCCATCATTCCACATTTCTCTTAGAAAATGAAACCAAATAATTAAAGTAAAGGTCTTGGTGTCAAGGTACTAACTGCAGTGCTAAAGGCGGCCAGGTGAAAGTGAGACTCAAACTGTGTGGAGATTATTTGCCTGAGGCTCTCTCACCCCTAACCCTAAGGATGTTTAGACAGTGATTCCACCCTATACTCTGCACCTGTGTCCAGTTTTATCTGTTTCCTCAATTACAGTATCTTGTGTCCCAATGTGTATGCTGCCGTTGTTCTGTAGGTCACTTTTTCATGCCCTTCTTTTCTGGAGGCTACATAATTCCTCTCTTACTAGAGGAACAGCCCAGAGTCTCTTGCTTCTCTCTGATGTTGAGGCCTGTATGTCCATCCAAATCATGTTATTTACTGTGGCCTCTTCATTACATATTAGCCTCTTCATATAACCCCTCACTTTGACCTGGTTTCAGATCCGCTGGTGAGTGGAACCTGACTTGCAACAGATTCTCCTGCTTAACGGTTTGTTATCCTAAAATCAGAGCAGAAGTTTTGGAAACTACCTGATATTTGAGGTCACATTTAATGAGGTTTACTAATAGAGCATGTAATGACAATATCTGGAGTGACAGAGGCAATTAAAATTTACTTGATGAATAGTCTTCCCCAGGGAGAAACATGCCAATTGGTTATCCAATAACAAATGGTCAGCCCAGAAAGCATACATACAAGTAACATAACACTGACTGAACAGTGTATATAAAGGATATATGAGTGTACATATATTCATCAATAGCAATTAATGAATTCAAAGAAGTCATGAATTTGAAAGAGAGCGTGGAAGGGTATATGGGAGTGTTTGGAGGTAGGAAGAGGAAGAGAGAAATGTTGTAATTATATTCTCAGAACAAAATAAAAAGGAAAAATGCTTATCCCATGAGTATTCAATGAGGAACAAGCATGGGAACTACTCTGAAAACAAAAACATTTTCTGAGATGAATCCTAAAAGCCCAGGAGTCTTTCTAAGAGATAATACTATTTTGGCAGAGTTGAGCTAGCTGGCTGGAGAGACAGCACATCAGTTGACCATATATCCTTTTCTTCCAGAGGACTAGAGGTCAGTTCCCAACACCCATGTAAGGCTGCATGGAGATAATTGTAAAATCTAGCTCTTATGGATCCATGAAGTTTTTGCTCCCTATGAGCACACACAAATCTAGCATACCCAAACATACACAGTGTATATATATATATATATATACATATATGTATGTAACTAAGATACACACATGCACATACAAAATAGCTGCAAATTTTTAAAGATTTATTTATTTTATGTGTATGTATGATGTATTGTTTGGCTCAACTCTTCATATGTGCACCACATACATTTGTGATGACCGAAGAAGTCAGAGGAGGACATTGAATCTCTTGTAACTGGAGTTATAGATGATTGTGCTACCACACGGGGCTGGGAATTGTACCCAGGTACTCTGCAAGAGCAACATGTGTCCTTAATTCCTGAACCCTCCCTCCAGCCCCAAACAACATTTTTGTATTCTTACGAAGTATCATCATGTTAGTTGTTTCATATCAACAGCATTTTAGAACATCAGTATTTCGTATGCATTATGCCTAGCCTAGCACATACATCTTTAAAATGTTTTTAAACTGTGTTGAGCAACAGATACTTGTTTTTTGTTTTTTGTTTGGTTTCTGTTGTTATTGTGTTTTATAGATAGGGTTTCACTGTGTAACAGCCCTAGCTGCCCTGGGACTCAGCCTGTAGACCAGGCTGTCCTCAAACTCAAAGAAATTCACCTGTTTCTGCCTCCCAAGTACATACATGGATTAAAATTGTGTGTCACCACCTCTCAGCAACAGCTACTATTTGATATGTAATATAGGTTTATTAAATAAACCTGCTATGCAATACAATAATAATTTCATGTGATGTCTTTTAGCTATTACTCTAGTTTTAAACTTAAAATTCCCTGTTGTGTTTAAATAATTTCTGAGGGGCCCTTAGACCACTTAATTTTCTGTACTTGTAAAGTATCCATTCAGAATTTTTGACAATTTTATCCACAGCACTGTAAAACAAAGCAAAACAAAAACAGAACAGCAGTCGAGGCCTTTATATGCAAGGGTCAGGTGAGCATACCTACCCATAACAGATATTTGTGAAAAATAATGGTGTCAACCTTAGATACTAGCTGTTCTTCTTTGATCTTCAAGGCTTTGACCACTGAAATTGATGACTGTAGAAAACAGCATCATACTCTATTATTGCTTTCAGCAGATATTGGTCATCATCAGCTGGTGTTTTCCTTAACATTCATTAACAATTCTTAAGGTCAAACTTGATTTTTGTCTTATATTTTTTTAATTTTAAATAGCTTGTTTTACATGTCAATCCCAGTTCCCTCTCCCTCCCCTCCTCCCGCATCCCCAACCATCCCCCCCATCCTCCCACCCTATTGCCAATTCCTTCCGCATAGGGTATATCTAGAGTCTTCTATCATTTCATTCAGGGTAGGGTCCAGGCACTTCCCTAAGAGTCAAGGCAGAGAGAGCATCTCTCTTTGTGTTATGGACACATGATGTTAGTATTTGAGGGATAAACACTGATCCACTGCTCAGGACCCCATAGATAGCCCAGGCCTCCTCATTGACTCTCACATTCATACAACAAGGGTATCTGGTCCATTATGTTCATAGCAGCATTATTTGTAATAGCCAGAACCTGGAAGCAACCTAGATGCCCCTCAACTGAAGAGTGGATAGAGAAAGTGTGGTACATTTACACAATGGAGTATTACTCAGCAGAAAAGAAAACAATGGAATCTTGAAATTTGCAGGTAAATGGATAGCACTGGAAGAAACCATCCTGAGTGAGGTAACCCAGTCACAAAAAGACAAACATGGTATGTGCTCACTCATATATGGATTTTAAACATGGATCAGGAGAGTACCAGTCTGCACTTCCACTGACAGACAGTCTGGGAAACAGGAAAGAACCTAAAAGATATACATGGTACCCAAGAGAAGAGAAATGAGGCAAGATCCTCTGAACAGATGGGGAACACGGCGAGGGGTGGGGGAGGGGGACCTGGGAAATAGAGAGGGGGAGAAGTGGAAGAGAGAGTAGGATGTGGAGGAACAGGAAGGTCGACTGGGGGGGGTAGGATAGGGGGAAGAGGGAATCATAGGTTAGAAGACAGATCAGGCACCATTGTGACCTCTAGTGATCTAAAGGGATGACACCATTTGGCAAGCTAATCAATAGTGTAGAGACCACCTCGAATGCCTATTTCTGATAGTGAACTTGATGTGTATAACCATCCTGGAGCCTTTATCCAGTGACTGATGGAAGCAGAGGCAAACACCCACAGTTAAACACTGAACTGAACCCAAGGAACCCAGCGCCAGAGAGAGAGGAGCAAAGAGCAAATTGGCAAAGAATGGGCTGACAAAACCAGCAAACTTGATTTTTATCTTATCACTCAGGTGTTCCATAGGATAATGTGAAGTCATTATTATATTGACTAGTCATTTTCCTTATTATAGCCAGACAATATATCAAACATGGATGTTAATCACTGAAACCAAGGCAGAACTGTAAAACCTATGTATTAGCCAGACAAAGTGGTACAAATTCTTCCCCCAGATTCTCAGACAGCATAAGCAGGAGGGGCATCATCACCAGAGACTGAAAGTTTGAGGACAGCCTGGCCAATCTACTGAAATTTGATATCCAAAAAGTACCTTCACAAAATCTTGAAAAAGTTTCAAATTAAGACTTCAAGTACAGCTGTATTTTATTTATTTATTTTAATTTTTAAGTAAAAAAATCATCTCATTTTACATACCAATGGCAGTTCCCCTAACCATCCCTCTATTCTACCCCTATTCACTGCTAAGGGAAGGTAATCCCATGGGGGATCACCAAAGTCTGTCGCATCAGTTGGGGCAGGACATAGGCCCTTCCCCATGTATATAGGATGAGAGAGTATCTCTCTACACGGAATGGACTCCAAAAGGCCAGTTCATGCACTAGGGATAAATACTGGCTCCACTGCCTGAGGCCCCATAGAGTGCCCAACTGACAGCCATATTTAGGAGGCCTGGTTTAGTATTATGTAGTTTCCTCAGCTGTAAGTCTGGAGTCTGTGAGTTGGAGTTATTAGTGTTAATTGCAAACTAGTATTATTTTCCAGGATGCAGATGTTTTCAGTATTATGTTAGGATATTTTGCTGGTAATTTTAGCTATAATTTCAGTTGTGCATACTGATAGATGTTCTAATAGGTA